TGTGCATTCGATCGTAAACGTAAGAAATGGTTTCTTTTTCATATTTGGGTTGAGTTGAGGCAGTAAATATTATTTATTATCGTGTTCTTTTTCAAATAGATGGATTGCATTATAATTGAAGTGAAAAAGGCATTTTTTTTTGGTGCAGAATATAATAATTATTAGCTAATTTAGTCTCTCTTTTTATTTCACTATTAGAAGATCTATATTTATAAAGTTAAATGTAATAAATGTAAGATAAATTTATCTTTTAATAAAATATCTATATAACATACATTTCTGAAACAATCTGTAATTTATATCTTCAAATGTTTAAAAAACATCTTATAAAGATATCAGATATCACAAAGATATTATTAAGTCTTTAAAATCTTTGATAAAGTTTTAAAAACATAACTTTTAAAAACATTTTTTATGTATCATTTGAGATAATTATAAACAATACTATTATAAATTAATATATTTAACAGTTTAAGATATTATTCTCATACAGAATGAAAATCATATAAAATAGAATGTCAAAGTAAAAATATCGCAGTAATTATACCGCAGTGACAATTAGCTCGATTGGCTTCGGATCGGTTTATTTATAACAGATTTTTTCATGTATTTTTAGCTCATGCAACGATGAAATTGAAATTAGACGTGGAGCAATTTCACGAGGGAATAGCGAGCCCCATTGCGCAATGGCGAATTTGCATTCGTTGCCGCCGCGGTGTGGTATTACGTAACGTCTCGTATTAGCGTGGGCAGCCGTTGAAATATGGGAATATATAATTATGTGTATAATAATTATAGCGAAAATCGGAATCGTTGACGTGCGATACCACGTTGCATATTATCAATGCGGATTGGGTCGCATCATTAATCAACGTCACTGTTGAATATACTCAACATAAAAACAACGCATAATATCGTTTAACATTATATCGTTAATGTCGTTGTAAGGCCAATAAGTATATACATGATATCGATAACTATCTCACGATAAACAGGTGCTCCAATAATTTTCTCAAAAATTATATATTTACGCACATTTTATTAATATATTAAATTATAATTGCAATTATTCGCCTTCCGATTGCATCATGTTTTCGTGTATTCTGACTCGAACAAACAAAATTGGGTCGGTCGTCTGTAAAAGTTTCTCCGATTAGATCGATTGATTTC